GGGAGGTTCGAGAGGCCCTTGGTATGTACCTCTCGCGAGACTCAGTTTACGCCTCTGTGATGGATCTGGCTTCGTTTGAGTTTGGTGGTTCTTCCCCATATTGGGTGCATTATGAGGTTCATGAGTCTTCCTGGCTGGCAGACTGCTCCTTTTTATCTCTTGGGGCTTGGCGTGGCTTTTGTCGTACCCGCACGTTTGAGTGGCGGGAGGTTTATTTAGTGATGCAGGTATTCTTGGGGGGGGGGGAATTGCTCGAGGTCCTCAATGAGTGCCTCTTTGCCCCTCCACTTCCTTGTGATGTGGGTGTGATGCAGTTGCATGCTCAGGTTCCCACTTTTTGGCTGCCTTGGCGGCTGAGACCTTCGGACATGCTGTCATTTGGCTTCGGTCTAGCGCTTCATCAGTCTTCCGGAGCTGTTTTTGGATTCTTTCGGAGTATGTGGGGGCGTTGAGTGAGGGTCCTTCAGCTGGGGTTTTTGGTTTTGGCTTCTGTGGCGTCGTTTGCCTTGCTGAAGCTGATTCTCCAAGAGGCGGTTTCTATTTTTTTTCTCCTCTTGCCTCGCTTGTCGGCAAGCCGTGCTGGCTGTGTCTTTGGATTCGGCTTGGGCCCTGGTTTGATCTAATTCGCCATTCTGTCCTCTGTTTGCAGAGGATGCCGTTGCCCAGTTTCTGTCGGTGTCTTTGGTCAGTTGCTGTTCTATTTCGAACTTGTTGGTGCTCTGGGAGGTGGGGGGGGGGGTCGTTCCCGGTCCTCTTGTTTGGGTCGTGCCTGGGCTCAGGCCTGTGGTTGGGGTAGGCCTTTGGTGTCAATTTCTGAGTCAGTGTGTTCCCCGGGGCCTACGTCGTGTAATCAGCGCGGTGTTTGCACTGTGCGGTGGTTGGCTTCTTGGGGTTCGCATCAGCCCTTACCACTCTTGACGGGGTGCAATTGACCTTGACCTTCGCCCCATTGGCGGGTGACCTGCAAAAGGGCCGACTGGCTCTTTGGGGTGGAGGCTCGCTCTTTATGCCTGCTTTTGGTCCCGCGATTCGTGGGCTTTTCGGGTCATCTCTTCAGGCCTTTGGTGGCATTGGGTGGCCTTTTTCCCCATTAGGGGGTTGGTTGGTTGGTTCATGGGGTGAGGGGGGTGGGGGGCAGGCTTCTTCTCCGTCCCTCTATCAGGTCATTTTGAAGTGAGTTCACTTGGGCATGGTCAAAACGATCTCTCAAGTGGGTTTCCCGCTTGTTTCCAGTTCCAAAACGGGACTGTGCGAATCTCGTGTACATTCTTGACATGTCTCATCCGAATCGGTTGATTCCATGTCCTTCTTTTCGGATGATCACATTGTCCCAGGTCCAGCTCGTTCTCAAGCAGGGCACTTGGATGATTTCCCTGGACCTCCTGGACGCTTTTTGGCAAGTCCCGATTCAACTGGGGTTCAGGTATTAATTGTGATTCAAGGTGGGTGACAAGCTGACTGCTTTTGTTGTCTTCTGTTCAGCTTGAATCTGGCACCTCGCATTTTCACGCGCTAAACTCGGGTCGTGGTGGCCCATCTGTGTCTGCTAGGTATTTGGGTTTTGGCCTATCTTGATGACTGGTTGGTGTGGGCTCCCTGCTGGTCTGCTTGTCTGCTAGCCAGGGATCTGGTTCTTTACCAACTTGCCGGGTTCGGGTTCCTGGTAAACTGCCAGAAGTCCCAGTTGGTTTCGTCCCAGGTTCGAACCTGGCTGGGCCTAGTATGGGATTCTTGGACTGCGTCCCTTTCTCTCACTTCTACAGCTCTGCTCCGATTGCAGTCCTGCCTTTGGCTGTTTTTTTAGGGGTAAAAGAGTCACTTGGCAGTTGCTCGCGCAGCTGTGAGGGAACCTGAACTTTGTTCTGGTGGTTTATTTGTTGGGCAGGGTATGACTTCGGAGGCTGTTCTGGTATCTTCCGAGCAACCTCTTTCGCCGCTCTTGCGATCGCTGGGTTCGATAACCAGTGTCTTTGCATCGGTTGCTGCGTCACTGGCTTCCTCTTCCCTGCTCGATGTGTTCATGGACGCTTCATCTCTCGGTTGGGGCTTTGTGATCAGTGCTTACCAGTCTGACCAGGGCCGTTGGGTGCTGTCCTTACGTCAGGCTCACAGGAGTTTGCGGCAGTGTGGCAGCCGCTACGCTGGATTCGGCTTCCTCGAAGCTCGGTGATCTGGCTCCATTGAGACTGCTCCTTTGTGGTTCATTGTCTAAACTGCGTGGGGTCCCCTCGGTCTGTGACTCTTTGGCACTAATTGCTTTGGGTGGCACTTCTGCCAAGTTCTTGGGGTTTAGCTTTATGTGCTGTTCACATTCAGGGAGTGTCTACTGTTCTGGCAGACGGTCTGTTGCACTTCATTCCTCTTTTCACAGAGTGGACGGTCGACGCTACCTCCTTCCTTTGGCTTTGCCGGACGTACAGGCGCCAGGAGGTGGACATCTTCACGTCAGTATGGTCTCGGTGTCTCCTATTGCACGTGGCGCAGTTTCCCAACTGCAAGGTCGTCACGGTAGATGTTTTTCGGCAGGACTGGTCGAAGTGGGGAGTTCCTGAACCTGTTTCCTATGGGCCAGCTGTTGCTCCAGGTCCTAGCTCACTTAGAATCCTATTGGGAAAGGGTTCTTCTCCTGGCTCAATGGTAGCTGGCCCAGCCTTGGTTTCAGGTACTGCCTGCTTGGTGTCCATACTGAGGCGTTTTTCCGTGGCTCCGCCTCTTTCAGCAGATCGAGCCAGTGAGGTACCTCGCTGGTTTGCCTTACTGTTCCACACTACGCGTCTGGTCTTTCTGACGCGTGTGTATTGCCATTTATATGGTGATCAGGTGGCGTATTTGATTGTGTCCCACCTGAGGTCTTCTTCACAGCAACAGTATGAAGTTTCTTGGCGGTCTTTGTCACTTTTTCTCTTAGGATGATTTTGTCAGTTTTGGACTAGGTTGTTTTGTCCTCTAATCTCTCTTGGATTTTTCTGGATCGGCCTATCTTGCCTAATACTGTTGCTTCATATTGCGCGGCACTGGCAGAGCCGCTCCAGCTTGCATTCAGGGTGGATGTTGCTTCCGATCCGTTCCACAAGCTTTCTCATGCATTTTTCACATCTGGCCTGCTCATGTGCCGCCCGAGCCTTCTTGGTCTTTAGACCATGTTCTTTCTTTTCTTTCTTCTTCTCGCATTGTTGTGGCCCCTTCAATAAGGGATTTCTTTTGAAAGGCCTTGTTTTTGTGTGCTTTGGCCTCTGGGGGGGCGGGTTGGGGAGGTTCAGGCTCTCCTCCGCGGGTTCAGTTCGTTTGGTCCAGGTGATCGTTTTGTTTGCAGCCTTTTACTTTTTTTCTGACAAAGAATGAAACGACTGGCTTCCAGAGGGGTCCATTGGTTGTGGATACTTGGTTGGTCTGGTGCATCATGTGTTCTGTCCGGTGCTGGCTTTACGCCACTACCTGCGGGCCACTGGTTCTGTGATGGTGGACACTCTTAGGGTGGATCCAGTTTCCCTGGTTTCCTGTTCCAGGGGCCCATGTCTCTCAGGTTGTCTGCAGTGTCATCATGTCAAAGTTCAGCCAGCCTGCGGTCTACCCTTGTACATGACATTCGGAAGAATGCTGCTCTCGCAGCGGTTTTTAGTAACATGTCTTGGTAGACATTCGGGTGCAGGGGTTTTGGAGGTCGAACAAGGTCCTGGCCGCCAGGTATCTAGTGAACTTTCTGTTTCCCTCCCGGCTGTGTGTAGCTTTGGGACGCCCGTCTTGGTCGTCTGTCTCTTCTTCGTCTTGAGACCTGTGATGCTGCCGCCTCCCGGGTAAGTCCGTCCTTTTACCTATCTTTGGATAGTTAGCTTCAGTTAGCTGATGGGGCTCCCCACAGAAAACCAGCATTGAATGTAATTATTACATTAATATTAAACCCATTCTATGGATTTAAAGTTGAAGTCGCCGACTACCAACAGTCGTGATCTCTATCCGCTCTTACTATAATCTTTCTCATTATTATGAGGTCCTCTCATTTATTATCCAGCACCTTCTTTGTCCCTGTGTTGCATGGTGGTGTGGACGGTGTGCATTTATGATTATCAGTTTTATCATCCTGATTGCAAATCTCCAGTGCTATTATGCCAACTTCTCGTAGCTTGGAAATCACTACAGGGTATTTCCTTTACATTTTAGGTGTTCTTTCACCAGTATGTCAATGCCTCCATCTTTCCTAATTTTTCTGTCCCGTCTCCAAATTGAGTAGCCCCTTAGGAATACAACCTCAATATAAAAGTACTGTATGAAACACTGTATCATCTTAGAGTTTTGTCTCTGTGAGTGCAACAATGTCTGGCATCTGCCACCACATTACATCATTTAGCTCAAGTATTTTTTTATCTAACTCCATTTGTTTAGCGTTATACAAATTTCAAGAACTCGCTCCCTCTCCCCTTGTTCTTTTCTCCCTCTTTCTCTTTTGGTTTTGTTGGTTTGCCTTTTTGTATCATTTGACAGCCTTGCCTACCCCTCGGGTGGCCTCGTAGCCTGGTGGATAGAGCGGAGGACTCGTAATTCTGTGGCGCGGGTTTGATTCCCGCACGAGGCAGAAACAAATGGGCAAAGTTTCTTTCACCCTAAATGCCCTTGTTACCTAGCAGTAAATAGGTACCTGGGTGTTAGTCAGCTGTCACGGGCTGCTTCCTGGGGGTGGAGGCCTGGTCAAGGACCGGGCCGCGGGGACACTAAAGCCCCGAAATCAACTCAAGATAACCTCAAGATAACCCCTGTCACCTTCCAGAAAAAAAAATTGATTTCTTCTTCGTCTCTGCTCTCATTTAGATGTTTTGATTAAAATATATAGGGGGTAGAAGAATAAAAGAACATAGAAAGGGTATTGGAAGGGGACCTAAAAATCCTCTGTAATGCATTGTGTGTCCTTTTCTCCAAGTCTAAGGGTCCCCTACTTGCAGCAAGAGGTGGTACTTCCTATGTAACTTATATATTTTATTTGTACTAATCTGTTGACAACTTTGCAGCTGCTTGTGTTCCCAAACTGATGAAGTCAGAGATTCAGAAGATGTTCGTGTCTTTATGGAGGCCATTGAAAGAGAAGGGCGTGATACCGAAGCCAGGATGCCTGGCTTCTGTCCTGTGTCCCCGTACAGTCATGCTAGTTGCTCAGAACCCTCGGGCCAACCACCAGAAATTAGCCTGGGGGCGGATGGAAGAATTCATCTCTTTGCTGATATCTAGCGAGCTTCTGTCTCCTGCAAGTGTCCTGGATCAATGTGTTGCTCTTCTGAGACACAGTTGGCCACAGGTAATACATCATCTCAGTTTTTGTATGTCTTGACCTAGAAACACAACATGTAGCTTTCCTTCAGAATGTCACCTTTCCCTGGTGGTTAGGAGTGAATATGAATTTTCTATTGAAGTGACTGCTTAACTTGAGAATGTGCTGTAGAAGTGAAGACCAAGCATTTCCAGAGGAATGAATGGTGGGTCCCTCAAGTTAGCCCCTTGGAAATGGATCCAAACATGAGTCGTATCAGCCCCAGGAGTCTTCAATAGGCTACCAGAGACTGCTGCCAGAACCTGGCCCTCTTGCAGAAGTGCAGGGCACAGGAGAGGCTCTATAATCACGCTCACTAAAGGATACGTTCAGAAAGTAAGCAAAGCAAAACAGACAACTGCAAGGTTTGCAGCAAGGAGAAATGAAGCAGCATATGACTGCAAACGTCCTAGAATCGACCTAGTAGTTGGTTTTAGTTACAGCTGGGAATGGCCAGGTAGCAGCACCCCGGGTGCTGTTGGCTCCCATGTCAACACTATTCAGTCCTTTGCACATTGTTGTACTTGTATGGACTGCTACTTGAGTCACCAAGCCTCTCTGCTCTCTAATTCCAGATAAGTGTTTGCCATCCTTTGGAGTCTGTCCCGTGGGGAACCCCATTGTGTAATCCAAGATTTTTGCTTCACATGTGTGTGTTTACAAGCCTCACTAGCTGTGTGGACTGTAGTAACTGTTCAATTTTATTGGCATGTGCCTAGGGCAGCCCTTCCCTAAGCACTTGTCTAATGATGCCTCTGCCATGACAGGGTGACTTCAATGGTGGGGTGTGGGAGTTCTACCCGTACAGTGTAGGGTGCCTCTTCCTGAGGAGTGCAAGGGTCATTGGCTCTTCTGTGAGGCTCTGAGGTTGGGGGGGGAGGGAATGCTGGGGAGTTTGTTGACTGAGGGAGAAGGGGTGCACTAGGGCTTACATGCTTGTACATACACCACACCCCTGATGCCCTTTGTAGCCGTGTTTATCCTGAAGGCTGTGTTCAGTGTCGATTCTTTCAGTGAGTGTCCCTAGTGCCTGGGTGTCCTGCTTGATCCTTACTGTCATGCCCTGGCAAACCTTGTGGGTCTTTGGTGTGGCTCATTATGGATTGACCCGCCTGTCATGTTCACAGAAAATAGTACCATCCGTTTTCTATGGGTGGCGGAGCAGACGCCAGAGAAGGTAAACAGAGCGTACAGGCCGCCCGCCAAGCTTGGTAGCTGCTAGTCATGTAATTGTGTATATACGTATGAAAGTTAGTAACCAAGAGATGGCTTTATATCAACCCCACAACCAAGACTTCCTCAGTAACACACAAACACCACACTGCCAAGCCCTGCACTTGATTCTTGAGAGTTTGAGGGATGTCTGTTGGTTTGACTACAAACCGATGGTTCCCTCTGCCACCTGTTGGATGGGTGTTAAAGAGGCACAATACAGCTTCAGAGAGGGAAAATCATGCTTAACAAACTTCACTGAATTTTGTAACAGGGTCACCAAAATAAGATAAGAGAAAGTAGTATGAATAGACTGCATCTTCCTAGGCTGCCAGAAAACTTTTGATACAGTTCCTCACTAAAGACTAATATACAAAATGGAGAGAGAAGTGGGGATATGAGGCAAGGCACTGGACTGGGCACAGGAGTACTTGACAGGCAGTAAACAAAGGAAACATTGTCAGCGAGGATGTGTCGGGCTGGAGAGGAGTGGAAAGTGGAGAAAAAGACCTGGGAGTAGACATAATCCCACCACTAATAACAGAAGCTCATGTGAACAGGATAACACCAGCAGCATATGGGAAGCTAGCAAACATAAGAATCAGAAAATCAATTGGAACATTGAGGTGACTTGAACCAGCAATCTGGGTACTCCCAACTGTGCACCTTACCCCTGTACCACAACATGACATAAGTTACACAACTTGGCATAATACTGAATCCACAGCAAGTCCAGAGGCTTCAATTGAAACCAGTCTTAAGTTGTACATATAATGCCATGCACTCTGGTGTAGGCAAAGTACTTCATCAGTTGTAAGCTCTAGCTTCAGAAAGACAAATAAATCACATGATATACTGTAAATTATGCGATTTATACTCTAAACAGTTTATACAAATAAACGTGATATACTGTACGTGATGTACAGGAGTGAGACAAAGTTAGAGAAGATTCAGCGGTATGCCACCAGGCTCGTCCCGGAACTGAGAGGATTGAGCTACGAGGAAAGGCTAAAGGAGCTGAACCTCACAACCCTGGAAAACAGAAGAGTAAGGGGAGACATGATAACCACCTACGAAATTCTCAGGGAAATTGACAGGGTGGACAAAGACAAACTCTTCAGCACAGGTGGGACACGAACAAGGGGACACAGGTGGAAACTTAGTACCCAGATGAGCCACAGAGACGTTAGAAAGAATTTTTTCAGTGTCAGAGTAGTTAATAAATAAAATGCACTAGGAAGTGATGTGGTGGAGGCTGACTCCATACACAGTTTCAAATGTAGATATGATAGAGCCCAGTAGGCTCAGGAATCTGTACACCAGTTGATTGACAGTTGAGAGGCGGGACCAAAGAGCCAAAGCTCAACCCCTGCAAGCACAATTAGGTGAGTACAATTAGGTGAGTACACAGCTTGGGGTACCCTGATCTATGGTTTGAGTCATCTTGGTGCTCCAGTTGATTTTCTCATTCATTTATATCATGTTAGTGTGATTTCTTTGTGTAAACATAAGAATGTTATGTAAGCAGCCCAACTTCAAAAGGTTTCCCAACGTCAAGAAAACGGTCAATATAAAGTATCCTCTCCTAACCTACCTAAGGACCCAAAACAGAAAACAGGACAGTGAGTCACTTTCGCGAGCCGCTTCCATTTTCTGGTACAGTGGAACCTCGGTTGACAAATGCCCCTCTTTACAAATTTTTTGGTTTACGAGCTCAATTTCTTCGTAAAATTTGACTCGGTATATGAGCTTTGCCTCGCTTGGCGAGTTTTTGATACATGTATGGGTCGACCGAATGCATGGTTCCTGGTGGGACAGGTGAGGTGCTCTTCAGTTTACCAGTGCCTCCCACCTAGTGACGATCGCGCTTGAATTCTTTGTGAAGAATGTAATTGTTTTTGTGATTTTTTAGGTTTCTGAACATAAAAATTATATATCATGCCATGGGTCCCAAAAAAGTTATCTTGAGGTTATCTTGAGATGATTTCGGGGCTTTTAGTGTCCCCACTGACAAAGTCAGTGGTAGAGTTCAACCAAAGAAAATGGTTGTGAGTAGAGGCAGTAGAGGATGTCCCTTCCTCATTAAGCAAATGTGTGCAGTAAGGGAAGAACTGCAAAGTTTTGTTGAAAAAACTCCCCCAGATAAAGCTGAAGCAAACATATACCTTTTTAATGACAATGTGATTCTCACGACAGACAAGTGTTAAAATGTAGGGATAAACAAGTGTGTTTAGAGAGATTGTTAGTAAGACAAGCAAGCAGTGAGCCACAACCTAGTGGTATGCAGGCAAAACATAGGGATATGTATACCAGAGAAGTCATCACTGCCTCATGTTATAATACTGTATAAGGGGACTCCCCTTCCAAACACTAACACCTCTTCTCCTCCCCCCTCCCCCCCACTGCCTCATGTTATAATACTGTATAAGGGGACTCCCCTTCCAAACACTAACACCTCTCCTCCCCCCCCCCCCCTCACCATCTTCCATATGCCAACAAGAGTCATCAATAGAGGTAAGCTATAACTTGTACATACTAAAGTAAAAAATATTAGTAGTAGTATGTATAAAATATATTTTCAAGTTAATATTTTTGAGGGTGTGGAATGGATTAATTCAATTTACATTATTTCTAATGGGAAAATTTGTGGGGGTTTACAAATTTTTGGTTTACCAACCGTCTCTGGAAACGGAATAAATTAAAAAATGAAGGTACCACTGTATAACAATTTTTGGCCTTCTGTAATGCATACGAGCGAAAAGCATATGCATTACAGGAGTGAGGCCTGTAATACATACAGACACCTCATGTATTACAGGAGTGTGGCCTGTAATACATACAGGCACCTCATGCATTACAGGAGTGAGGCCTGTAATACATACAGGCACCTCATGCATTACAGGGGTGTGGCCTGTAATACATACAGGCACCTCATGCATTACAGGAGTGAGGCCTGTAATACATACAGGCACCTCATGCATTACAGGAGTGTGGCCTGTAATACATACAGGCACCTCATGCATTACAGGAGTGTGGCCTGTAATACATACAGGCACCTCATGCATTACAGGAGTGTGGCCTGTAATACACACAGGCACCTCATGCATTACAGGAGTGAGGCCTGTAATACATACAGGCACCTCATGCATTACAGGAGTGTGGCCTGTAATACATACAGGCACCTCATGCATTACAGGAGTGTGGCCTGTAATACACACAGGCACCTCATGCATTACAGGAGTGAGGCCTGTAATACATACAGGCACCTCATGCATTACAGGAGTGTGGCCTGTAATACATACAGGCACCTCATGCATTACAGGAGTGTGGCCTGTAATACATACAGGCACCTCATGCATTACAGGAGTGTGGCCTGTAATACATACAGGCACCTCATGCATTACAGGAGTGTGGCCTGTAATACATACAGGCACCTCATGCATTACAGGAGTGAGGCCTGTAATACATACAGGCACCTCATGCATTACAGGAGTGTGGCCTGTAATACATACAGGCACCTCATGCATTACAGGAGTGAGGCCTGTAATACATACAGGCACCTCATGCATTACAGGAGTGAGGCCTGTAATACATACAGGCACCTCATGCATTACAGGAGTGTGGCCTGTAATACATACAGGCACCTCATGCATTACAGGAGTGAGGCCTGTAATACATACAGGCACCTCATGCATTACAGGAGTGAGGCCTGTAATACATACAGGCACCTCATGCATTACAGGAGTGTGGCCTGTAATACACACAGGCACCTCATG